ACGTGAATACTCACAATGTGCATTGAGATGATGCAAATGGTGCCTTGAGTATGCTCCACTCGTATCACTATCGATTCCTACAATAATGGTATTCGCTAGTGAGTCTCTAATCGAAATCTAACACTAGTATACATGGTACTACAATAGAATTATGCCAATATTGTGTCAAAATTTAATATCGATAAGTTACAAACATTTTTTTGTGGAAATTAAGTTTCAAAGAATCAATTGTTATATAACAATTTAAGTGGAAAATTTTCATTATTGAAATGTTAATATTATCATTTTAGAGGTGTTCCAATGATTAAATATTCAAAACTAAATCAATTCAATTCTAAAATATCCCAAACTTTGCATTTCAGTTTTAATTGAAGTCAAAAACCTCAAGATAAATTTTCTTAAATTTTTGAGTTGTCTAACTATTTTTCACCATTTTAGTTTCTTGAATAACCATAAATTCATGAAAAATAGCAATGAGTTAAGAAAATTTCCCAAATTTTTTATTTAACTGTTATTAAAGATTACTAAGCTACGAAAAATATAAAAATAGATTTCCAAGCTGTTTAATTATATTTTATAATTTTTGAGCATTTATTCCAATAAAAATTGAAATAAATAGAAAATAGTTTCCAAAATTACCCAAACTTTTTATTTAACTGTTATTGTACATAACTAGGCTAGGAAAAATATAAAAGATATTTTTCAATGGGTATTTCTATTTTTCCTTGTTTTATTCCTTTAATTAATCATTAATTGAAGAAATAATATTAAACAGTTAAAATAAATTACCAAAAAATTTTGTAACATCATTTACAGTATAAATAACCTGGGAAAAATATCAAAAGTGGTTTTCATAATGTATAATCTGGTTTTGGGTATTTATGTGTATTTAAGTGTATTTAAGTGTAATTAACTTTAGAAAATAAGAGAAAAATAGTTTACAGTAGAGAAAAATCCTCAAAATTTTTATATAACCTCCTACTGTATAATATGATATTCTGGTAAATTTTCATGAATTTTGGATAATCAGAACTATTTTTCCCATTTGTAGACCATTATAATTACCAAAAATTGGGAAAAATAGTAAGACATGATGAAAAATCTTGAAATTATTTTCTAGAGTCACCCATTATTTTCTAGAGTCACCCATCACAGGTAAGGTATGCGAAAATTGTTATACAAAATTTTCACATTCTCTAAAGTGGTTTTGTAATTTATCATGCCCTAAAAAAGAAAATTAGAAATCATATTAAACAGTAACAAAAATTGCTGAAATTTGGTGAGGGTCATTATTCACCATAAGGATCATCCATGAATTTATTTAGGATTTATTGACCTCTGGAAGTATTTTATATTATTTATGCCCTTGGTTTTAGCAATAATTTTAATAAATCAAAGAAATAACGAAAGCTTTTGAAATTTTCCAGATTATCTCATGCATGCAAGGGCTTTCAAAAGGAAAATGTTAAAAATGTATTCAGAAAAGAAATGAGAGTAATGAATCCAAACAATTTAAGAAAAATTGCATGCAATAATGAATGAAGTGTAGATGTGGCTGAAGTTCATGAATTTGTGTAGTCCATTCACTGAGGTTTTAAGCCACGAAATTTCAACCATCAATCACTAGATATGTTAAGTTTTTAAGGTATTTTTCCTCAGAATTATGGTTGGGTTTAAGGCCATTGATCATGCAAGACAAAAATAGAGATCACTGAAAAAGATCTGTATGCGCAATCATTTTGTAAAAATTGCCAAAAATCGGATATTTAATATTTTACAGTGAGACCAGTTGGGTTTCAAAGTTAACTCGTGGAACTATCCAATACAAAAAGAATATCATGATTTGGTTAGGAAATGACCGAATTATGGCCGTTCAAAGTCGAAAAAAGTAATCTAGCAGATTGCATGTTTGTTTGTGTGCATTATTAGGGTATTTCAACAAGACCATCATGCATGCCGTTGGTAAGGTCCGATTTCTAACACATGCATGGAATGAATGAGCATCCAAGATTTTCACCATGAAATATTAGGTTTTGATGTCACATGATCATATGTGCATCTTTTTCAGTCCTTGCATGGGTTTAATCCCGGATTTTCACCATCTCAAACACATGCATTGTGTTATGGTGAGAATCTACAAACCACAAGGGAAAAATAAAGATTTCTAGCCATGGAATGGCATAGAATCCGAAAAGAAGAGAAAACTAAGAAGGAAAAGAAGTAAAATCATGTAACTGTGGAAGAAGATGATGTTGTTTACCTTTGTTATGATCTTGAGGGAAGTAAGAACACTTCAAGGGCTTCAAAATCTCGAAAATTTGCAGAGGAATGAGAGGATTTTCGTGAGTTTAGAGATAGGGAAGAAGAGAGTGAAGTGTGTGAAGAGTGGAGTGTAAGAGAGTGAAGATAGAAGAGGTGGAGTGAGGGTTTTGACTTAATGATTGTGTTTTGCGAAGAGAGAGTGTATGGGGAGAGGGAGTCCGACTTTGGAGGGGAGAGAAGGTCTCCTTCTCTTAAATTTTATAAAATTATAACTTTATTTTATAAAAATATCAAGTTTTGTATAAAATATGCACCTTATTTTAATTTTCATTCACAAAACCTTGATTTTTTTGCATAGAAATAACGTTAAATACTAATGACTTAAATTTTATTTTTCTTAATTTGACTCTCATAATTTTTATTATCATAAGATCATATTATAAGTTTCATAATTATTTTTATAGAAATTTTTAAGGTTAAAGTTTATAAATATGAGTTTTTAGGGCATTTAGGGTTTTTGAAGTTTAATAAACTTTGAATATCAAAATAAATTGAATATTTGAGACTTCAAATTATCTTATGGTATTATAACTCTTTTATAGTTATAAATAATGTTTGTAATTTTTTTTTTGGGTTTATTGGCATTCTATGTAGTGATTCCGAGATTCAAGCGAAATTGAGGAATCAAGTATACTAGTCCTAGTCTTCAACTTTGACTTAAGTTTCTATGGACTCCGACCTAATTTCTACTACTAGGTTAAGTGCATAATGTGTGTATATGATTCATGAAATGTTGTTCGAGTCAAAGAGTAACCCGAATATGGATAGCCACTACAGTTAAGTAGTTGTAGAATTCACATACCAATGTGAAATCCAAGTACATTATCCATTGTTTCTAATTGTTTCCAAGTTTCTAGTAGGTCATAACTTGGCTTCTAGTTACTAAGTACAATATGTGTAGTGCCTTTATGTGCAACTATTATAGTCAAATCTATGACCGACTCGAATTTTGACGGTTGTCACACTTTATGGCTCAAGGCATCAACGAAGATGTTAGCCTTTCCTAGATGATAATGAATCCCACAGTAATAGCTATTTAGCAACTCTAACAAATCTCACAATCATAGCCATTTACCAACTCTACGAGGTTGAACTATACCACCTTACCTATATGATAATGAATCTCATAATCATAGTTTGTAATGACGCCAAATCTTCATGGAAAAAACTATCGCTCCCAACTATAAGTTGTGGGCGGTGTAGCCGTTCTCAGTAATTGTTCATATTTGGCATGGTACACAACATTTTCTTCAGCTTTTGGAAAGATGTTTTATGTTGGTCACCCCAAATGAATTTGACTTCCTTTTGGGTCAATGTTTTGAGGGGTTTGGCTATACAAGAGAAATTTTCTATAAACTTATGTTGGGGTCTTGGGTGCTTGGCAGTTCTTTACCGCTTTAATCTTGGAAGGGTCGACATGAATAGATTTGTTTCTTAATATGTTCCTGAGAAAGAGTACCTCTCTTATCCAAAAATCGCACTAAGAGAATTTTGCATACAACTTTTGTTTTCCTAAAAGCTCTAGGATCACTCAGCTGTTGCCCGTGCTCTTCCTTGGTACGTGAGTATACCAAAATATCATTGACAAATAAAATCATGAATTTTTCTAAGTAGGGTTAACACATTCGATTCATGAGATCCATACAAATAGTTGGGTAATTGGTTAATCAGAAGGGCTTGGCCAATAATTCATAATGGCCATATCGCATTCTTAAAGCAGTCTTTCGAATGTCCTCTTCCATTATTCAGAGTTGATGATATCTAGATCTTAGGTGGTTCTTAGAGTAATTACTAGATCCTTGCAGTTGGTTCAAGAAATCATGTATTCGGGGAAGTGGACATCTATTCTTAACGGTAAACTTATTAGCTCTCTATAGTCGATCCACATTCGGAAAGATCCATCTTTCTTCTTGAAAATTAGAACGGGTGCTCCCCACAGTGAGAAACTTGGTTTCATAAAGCCCTTGTCAAGAAGTTTATGTAGTTGGCTGGAGAGATCCTGCATCTTTGATTGTGGCAACCTATAAGGAGACTTTTCTACTGGTGTAGCTACTAGATTATACCGATCTGAAACTCTACTTGTTGAACTGGCGACAGAACTGGTAGATCCTCAAGGACTACATCAGGGTAATCACACACCTGAGGTACTTCCTTGATCTTTTTCTTCTTATTGTCTTTCCTATCGATAGTACAATCTAAGAAGGGGTAATACTTTTTCTACAAGGATTTCCTGGTCTTCATTTATTAGATGATCCAAAGATTATTAGCAAGTTTGTCACTGTAAACGATTACGGGTTCTCCATTTGGTAGGGTAGATGTAATGCTTTATCAAAGCATAGGACTTCCAAATGGTTAAGGGATAACTAGTACATACTAATGATGGCATCAAAATTTCCAATGACCATTGGCATAAAGTCAACAGGAAAGGCATGGTTATCTTATATTAAGGTACAATTCCTAAGTATTTCTTGAGTACTACCGACATGGCCGTTAAGTATTTATATTGTATAGGCTTCCCTAAGTAACTACCATAAGATCTTTGACATCTTCTCTGGTTCCTATCATAAATGCTCTACTCCTAGAACTACCTCCTTTTCCTGCAACATTGGACAATCCTTCCTAATGTGTCCAAATTCTTTGTCGTCATAGCAGACTCGACCTTCTGTTTATGCGGTTTGTCAATTGGGTGGGGTTCTAAATTTGTTGTCAAGATGACCTTTCTTGCCGCAATTGGTGTAAATATGACATGCTCCATTGTGAGGATACCTACACTCATTACATCTTGGATTACTTCCAGTGGTAGTCCCTGTCAAGGTTGTCGTAACCTCAAATTCTTGTACCACTTCCCTTGTCCTCTCTATTGATTGCCTACCCTCCTTTTGGATTCCTTTCCAAACTTCCTCTTTCGACATTCCTCCTTTGGAAGATCAGCTTTCTGGACCATCTTACCATGACGAATCTGTTGATTTGTTATACTGAAGTTTATTCTACTAGCGCTATTGTAGGTGGTTAGCTTTGGAGGCAATGACTAAACCTTGGATAGGCTGAGGAAAACCCCAAATGTACCTTTCTATATCATTATATCCTAGGGTGACCATCCTAGGACATAAGGCAGCAAGCTTATTGAAACGATTTTTATAAACAGCAACATCAACTTCCTTTATCGTTATATTCAACATATCTTATCTCATTTTTTTCATCTCTTCACATGTGCAATACTCCTCAATCATGAGCTGCTTTAGCTCACCCTAAGCCATGACATTAGTGACATAAATTCCCATGGTCTTTGTATCACGGGGCCACCAGCTTAGGGTTGCATCTGCTAGGGTGCAGGTGACAAACTTAATCTTGTAGTCCTCCAAACAACTACTTATCTCAAAAACAAAGTCCATCATTTCTAACCACCAAGTCAAACCAACTACACCCTGATTTCCATAGAAGGCTTTTGGTTTACAATTTATAAAGTCTTTATATGAAGATACCCTGGTTCGAATTCTGTTATTTCATTCCATACTCTCACCTCTATTGCCTCTAGAACCTATGTTCCTATTCGTTTCTAGTTTTGCTATTGCATCAGTGACACGTTGCACTACTAACGCCTCAATTGCAGTGGAATTCATAGGTTCAGGATTAGGTTCAGTTTGTCTATGGTTTCTCCTGGTGGGTGACATGATTTTAAATTTATGGAATATGTTAGTTATGAGAATTTTGAGTTTTGCTTTGATAATTTAGTTAAGAGAGTTAACTATATCAAGAAAATGTATCAAACTAGTAACATAATATACAATAATATCACATATATTTTTCATTAACGTCGATGAATTTTTACATCAGACATCCCAAAAAGTATACAATGATGTCGTTTAAACAGGAAAACATCTATTTTACACCTAAAATACATAACAATATCCCCTTATCTGCTACACTAGTTTTCCCTCCATCAAACCCAAAAATTACAGTTCGTTGGCTAGAACTATCTACAACAATACAAAAAAAGCCACCATCCAAGCTACTATCTGTGCTAACTAGTGTTCTAGGCAACTTATCATAACTTCCATAATGGCTACACCTATCTCTGACACCATCAATTTCAACTCTGGCTCCCTCACACATTGCTCTAAACCCTCGATCACAATCTAATGATACTATACCAGAGAATATGTCTCCTCCAGATGATTATATGTGTGGAGGATCCTCATCTCGTCTATATTCCTTCCTTACTGCAAATCCTTAACTTTATCAGCCAGTAATATGATTTCCTACACTAACGAATCACGATCCTCTTACACCCAATGTATATGATCCCATCTCATTCTATGCATGGAACTAACATTAAGATCGCTTTGTCCTTAGTATCCTCTCGAGTGAGATCGTGTCTAGGTGCCTGGAAGGAGTCTCCAACCTCATAAAACCCAATACTCTCCTATCTGATCCTCTCATCCACCTGTGGAGTCCATTTATGGGTGGGGTGTAACACCCGTGTTTCTGGGCTAAAAGCATTAATAAAGTTGTAATAGTCTAGGTCAACCTTTGTAACTCATTTTGAAGTAGTAAAGAGGAATTATGTGAATTATATGCTTATTTTCTTAATTATTATGATTTAATTAATTAATGATAAAAATAAGCATGTAAAATAAATATTATAAAAAGCCGATATCTTTTAAGAAAGTTGTAGTGGCCGAAACAAGGATTCCGGAGATATAAAGAACGTCGAAATCAGAGTTATAACGAAGAAATTATGACCTGTTGAAGTTTCGCAACAAAACCGGCATGACACCGGGAAGTGCAAAAAGTGAATATTACGATAAAGTGCTTTTTAGCCTTAACAATCTAAACTAAAGTTGTAGTTATCGTTAAACCGAGAAGTTCGATAAAAAGAACGCCCACATCTAACTTCGTATAAGGAAGTTATGATTTTTCTAAGTTTTAGCTTAGCAGTAGACATCTAAATACTCGAATTCAAGATCGAGCGAAATTTAGCCGACACAAACTAAACGAGAATCAAAGGTCTCGTCAATAGTAATACAACAGTAAAATGACTGACGAAAACGGACGTCGGATGAAGAAGTTATGAATTTTTAACGGATTTTCCTGTCCCGGTCTGTTAAAAATAATACTATTAAAATTAAAGTCAAAATTAGCCGATGAACTCCAAACGAAAGTTGTAGAGCATGATTTTAGCTACCCGTGCATATTAAGAATGTCAAAAACGGAGCTCGTATGCGAAAGTTATGGATTTTAGAACTTTGGGGCTCAAAATTTGAAAATTTTCGCATGAACAGTAACCGGACACGTCACCTCGCACGAAGCTGCTGCGTCACCAAGGACGTGGCAGAATCCGCACCAGACGCGTGTCGCAACTCCCTCGGACCGAAGTGTTGGCCAATCAGAAGACGCCTCATGGCAGCCGTGTGTCCGTACCTCGCAGAGACACGTCCGAGTCTCGTTGTCGCCTCCGTCTCTCGCCTCGCTGCTACCACGCGCCTCATTCCCTCGCAGCCACCTCTTCCCTTCATCACCGAGCCTCGCAAGCAGGTACGTGAAAGCTTCTCAGCCTCGGAATCCTCGGCCTCGCACCCTATAAATAGGGGGACTGCGAGATCTCCCGACTAGTTTTGAAAACTTGACATTTTTCACCCCTAAACTTATATTTTGACTATTTTGACTTCCCCCGAAGCCCTGTATCATTTTTAAAGCCCGGAATACGTCCCGAAGTGCCCGAAAACCCGAAAAATTTTATCTTTTCGGTTTTGAAGCTCCAACTCTCGCAGAGCCCGGTTTCTCAATAAAACGTCCAGTTTTATCAGAAACGATCATTTTAAGGAACGAATTGTTGTCCGATTATCATCAAATCAGGTGAGTGTATAGTCACTTTCATCTTACACATAGATATGAAGTATTTTCTATAAAATATGTGTTATGTGTAATTATATTGATTGTTTATTTGAGATGATTGTTGAATACAATGTTTTATACAAGTTATAAACTATATATGTATTTTATCTACAAATATGTTGGGTAGCACATAGGTAGACAAAATAGTTGATGTGTGTTAAAATGATGAGAGGCCTCGATGTTGTTGTTGTTCCAGTCATCTAGCGGAGTATGGATGACGACCACAGACTCTTCTAGACAGTACAGTGGAACGCTAGCAGGCTCGCAACCTGTAGGTGTTGTGAACGATGTGTTCACCGGTGTACTCCATCCCCATCATGGTTGCCTTTAGGACATTTATTGCTGAGGAACCCTCTTAGCAGTAGTGTCCATCTCGATGATAAAATCCTTAGACTAGGTCCCTTGTATAGGTGTTTAGGGACGTAAAGTGAGGATAACGGGAATGGGTAATCAGGGTTATTGTTGGTTGATGAAATTAATAAATTTATTGTTAATCGATGAAATTAATAAATTTATTATTATTTGTGGGTTGAAAACCCTATATGCTCACCAGGCTCCCAAGCCTGACCCACTCAGCTTTCTGTTTACAGGTAGTGGACTCAGAGCATAATTATGATGATGATGAGGGACTTTTGGATTATAGGCCATTAGTTGTAAATAACTGTTGTAAGGCTTATAATGTACTGTTTATACCTATGTATTGTATGGAACATGACATCCCAAGTCTTTTAATGAAATACCTTTCTAAGGAAATGTTTTTAATAAATCTTTACCATATTATTGTTTTGGGACAAATTCCGCAATTCTTTTATTAAAAGGTTACTCTGATTTTGAAATAAAGTATAAAGAAAAACAGGTCTTTTCTGGCCGTGAATTTGGGGATATCACAGTTGGTATCAGAGCATTAGTTTAAGCGAACTAGGAATTTGTAGGATTTCTAGACTTAAACTTAGAATGCTAAGCAATGATTGTGAGGTGTGAGCACTAGTATCTTTGAGGAAAGATGCCTAAAATGATTTTATGTGCTAAATGTTAAGTATTTCCTATACATGATATTATTGTTCGAATCTATGGTCTGTTGTCGACCGTATCTGGAAAAACTTATGTGTGTAGGATTCTAAGCGTATGATTACGATATTAGAACTAGCATGTAGACATTTCAGAGTCTATAGTGAATAAAGATCTAAATTCACCTTAGTCGGTGTATAGATCAAGATGGCAAAGACCCGTAGCAGAAACGTAAACGCAAATGTAGATAGGAACCAACCCCCAAGTGTTCAGCAAATACCTATTGTTGAAGAAGTCGCACCTGAGCCAGTCACCATGGCTGGAGTTCAAGCCGTAATTCAGGCTATGCTAGTTGAACAAAGGGAAGAAATGAGACGGATTCTCCACGAGAATAGGGACGAATCTACCATACATGTTGAACCGATGGAGCTAGTTCCCAAGCAATCCGAGGAAGGGAACTACATCCGCCAAGTGAGTCAAATAGGGACTCAAGGTGAGAAAAGGGATGGCCCAAAAGCAAGAAACAACAAGGATAGGCGGATGTACAAAAATTTCTTTGGTGCGAAACCACCAAGTCTCCCAGGAAGCCCAAAGCCTGTTGAGATCATGGACTGGATCTCCGAGATGGAAATGGTGTTTGAAAGTTGCGATTGTAGCAAGAAGAAGAAAACTGTCTTCGCTGTGAGACAATTGAAAACTGGAGTCTTGAGCTGGTGGAAGCTATTGGCAGATACAATGTCGTGAGGAGAAGCTCTGAAAATGTCGTGGGATGAGTTCTTGCAACACCTGAAGGCGCAGTACTGTTCAGAGATAGATCTGATTGATCTGAACAATGAGTTCCAAAATTTGAAAAAGGGGAAAATGAGCATTGATGACTATGCTGTTGCATTCACGGAAAAGATGAAGTTGTTTCCATACCTAGTGCCAACCAAACTTTCCAAAGTTGAGAAGTTCGCAAACGGACTGCCAGCTGACTTTGGCCCCACAGTCAAGATGGCAATCACTCTGAAATTAGTCGTTCGAGCAGCTAAGAATGTGGAGATCCAACAAAAGGAAAGAGGTCTAGGAACGGCTGAGGTTGGTGAGAAACGGAAGTTCGATGGATCCTCGAAGTCCAACAAGAAGAGTAGATTCTCGAAGTCTGTTTCAAGAGAAGGAGGATCAGAAGCGAAGTGGTGTGACAAGTGTAAGAAGAAGCCCTCTGGGAAGTGTGACGGAGGGGTCACTTGTTTTAAATGTGGAAAGCCTGGGCACTATGCCAACGAATGCACATTCACTAAGAAGGTCTGTTATGAGTGCAACAAGGTGGGGCACATTTCAAAAGATTTCCCAAAGAAGAAGGAGGCAGGAAGACCCAACATACCACCAAAGCCGAAGGCGAGAGCCTTCCAGATGACGCTTGAGGCGGCAAAGGAGGCAGTAGACGTCGCTTCAGGTACCTTTCTTGTAAATGGTTTGCCTGCAAACATACTATTTGATTCCAGAGCCAACTACTCCTTTGTGTCGCATAAATTTGGTGGGAAATTAGCATTACCTGTAGAAAAACTTGATAATGCCCTAATTGTAGAAGTTGCCAGTGGAAAATTCTTACTTGCTAGTAATCATATTAGGAACATCGTCATTGACCTAAATGGAAATGAATTCCACGAAGAGTTATTACCGATAGACTTAAACGGTTTCGACATTGTTTTGGGTATGGATTGGCTTAGCGCCAACGATGCTGAGATTCTTTGCAAGAAGAAGATTGTAAGGGTGAACCCACCCGGAA